GATATATTTATTTATCTTAAAAGAATTGTTTTTGCAAAATTATTAAAATGCTTTAGTAGGATTTTTAGACAACGGAACGGAAGGAGTTGATATAAATTCACGACCTTTAGAGAGAAGTATAGTCACGTCATTCGAAAGAGCTTTATTAGGGAAATTTCTCGTTTTGGATTAAAGGGGAGTTTCTTGACCCTTCTTAGTACGTTTTTCGACTTTTTATGGTAGCCTTTGAGTCAGGAAAAGACACACCAGTATAATTTTGGACTGTTTTTATTTACATGGAACTCCTCACTCATTTAACCTCGGGATTTTCCTTGTTTGGCTCTCAAGGACTTTGTATGTGTGAGAGATCTTGCGTGGCTAGGTTACCAGAAATTCGTTATCGTGACTTATGAGCCCGTGTCATACTACTATTTACAGCGGTTTCAACCATTATCAACGCCGTGATATAGTACAGCACATGTACAGTAAAAAGAATAAAGATTGGCTACGAGGCTTATTCTTGGTTCGATTTTTTATAGAACTCTGACTTAGTGGTTGTTGTTCAAAGAACCTAATTTTAAAGCTCTTTTGAAAGCCTCTTTGAATTGCGGATTCATAATTCCGTATATAATTGGATTTACCAAACAACTTGTGTTCATAATGAAAATAACTGACACAGAAATTTCTCTGGGGATAACGAACCCAGCAGTCTCAAGACTCATAGCAACAGACACTGTTCCCCATGACATCAGAAATACACAAACGACCGTAAAGCAGGTTTTCAAGAGTCTTACATCAGTCTCAGGACGTGCTGAGGGGGCCGCTCCATCTTGTACGCTATGGGAATTTAGATTTTGAGTGCTTTCTTTAAGAGTTTTATATATCTTATAGTAGCAGTAAAATATTGAAACTGTGGTTCCGTTGATCACCCCGCCCACGGTAACTATGGTATATGAAATATTCTCGATTTTCCAATCGAAACCGCAGACAGCGTATGAAGGGTAGTATATCATCTTGCCCCAGCCGTACAATGGCGGTGTTGCAGCAAGTATTGAAGCTATCCACACGATTACACAGTAAAATATTGCCATTCTCTTGCTCGGGAAAAGGTAGTTGTACAGAGCTGGTTTGGCGACTCGGATGTATCGATTGAAGGCGATAAGCCCCATAGTCAGGATAGAAGCAGCCCCTAACGTCATCATAAGTGCAGCTGAGAGCCCACACCACTTCTCACTAAAAATCCAAGTCCCTGTACGTAAGGTTATTATCCAAAAGGGCATGTGCAGCGATGCCATGGAAATGTCAGTCAATGCCAGGTTGAAGATGAATACATATGTTAAGCTCTTGAGTCTGGAGTCTTTATGGACAACATAGATGACTAACAAGTTGTCGAGGATGGAGGTGATGCAAAAAAGAATAGACAAGGTCACTGCTAAACCAATTTCACTGGGTGAACGTCCAATGGGGTCATGGGAACTTCGTGCAGTTTGAGAGATGTTTTGCATGTTGTGTCAGGACAACCTGCACATAAAGGATAAATATAGAGTAACAATATCAATACTAAAACGACAATAATACAATGTAAGTGACGATACTGATGATAATTATTTTGGTATAAAAAAACAAGTATTTCGTTAAATTATTATTATAAACTCTTGAGCTTGTAGATGCTGCAGACAACATTTGAAACATTAAACGGCGTGTAAGAGAAGTAAGAAGACTCCGGCTAGGATATGAGTCAAGAGGGATATTCAGCAGGAATTTCTATCCCCAATGTTGCTTGTTATTGCAATATTGCCTCTCAGTAGCATACTGCCCGAGTATGTATAGCTGGCTAGCAGCCAAGGAAACAAGAAGACAAGGTGAATCATCTAATATTCATGAACGATTTGAATCTGTATGGAAGGAAATACGAAAAGAGAATTTCAACTCACCTGTGCAAAAGGTTCGCGTGTACAGCAGTCAAACACTAGTGAAGTGAAGAAAATAATCAGATTGAGAAGCGGGGGGAGAAAGAGGAGGAGAAGAGGAAACAAAGAAATTAAGGAGGAGGAGGAAGAGGAAAAACAATAAAAATTGTAGTGGCGCTGGTGGAAGCAAAACAGTTAAAATAGGGTGGTGGGGATGGAAAAATTAAAAAAATAACAGAGGGGGAAAAAATCGAGGAGGAGGAGGAGAGAATAGGTTGGTAAAAAATTGTGCTTCATGAAAGAAAGAGCAGGTTTAAACTGAGACATTCCTCGTCCTTTAAATAACTAGAATACCTGTCAAACCGGTAAAACCACTTAAAAAGAGCTCATTACAATATTTTATGAGATTTCTTCGCATTTTTATAGACTATGACGTCATCGGCGTTAATCTATTCCTGCAAACTTAAGAGAAGGATAATTCGGTCCCTATTATACTACTCCCATCCTTAAATAAAAATCCCTTTTGTTATTCCAATTGATGTCCCCACCACTGAACGCACCTGTCCTCGCTGTGCAAAAACCATTGTAAAATTAAAATTATGGAAACCATAAGGAAAGACAAATAAATGATTTTTATAGGGTTATAACTATATAAAAAAGATGTATTGGAAAAGTCCCCGCAAAATCGACAGGAAGTTTTGCGTTTACTCCACTCATATTTATTTATTTCACTATACAACCTATCGTGCCAATCTGTAATTTTGTAATTTTTTGTGGACCTGAAGTTTTGTTCCGCGTGGTGCGTGTGTTTAACCGTTTCTAGAACGTAATGGTAAGCTATATGTTGGTATAGGCACTTTGAAGTAAAAAAAGTGTAAACGGGACAAAAACAAAACGCTATTTCTGTCATTCATAAATTTCATGCTGTTTTCTTTGCAAGGGGTCTGTTAAATCAATTCAAACATTTCAACTTTCCGTAATGACTAACTTATAAAAATATAACTTTCAAATGCATGTATCTGTAGCCCTAACTTTCCTGAAATGTAGGGCCTAAAACGGCGAGCTTAGAAGTGGCAAACACACTGTTTTCAGCTTACCTGTCAATCGAGCGTACTATTTCACCAAATTAGCCAGGGCAGTTCGGGCACGTTACTTTTGCAGGCTCCTCCTCTGTTTGCTTTTGATCTTTTTAATGTACCTAT